GGTGTCCTGGAACCTCTTACGCATGTGTGCACCAACCTTAAAATCCCAAAAGAAAGCAATGTTCTAATCCAAGTAATAGTAATGTGATAAGGTTCCTCATTCTTTTCTGAGAGTTCCTCGGGTAGGCCTTTGAGAAAGCAGTTGCAGTCGGCTCCCGTCACACCGTTGGTTCCGAACAACTAGGGGAGTGAAAGATCCCATTTCAACGTCCAACACCCTCTGTTGGTACTTCCGCTTTTTCTCCTCCTCCTGCTCCTGAAAGATTGTGTATGTTGCTTTTCCCTGGTTACACTTGGAGTTAACAAGGTCACCTCCGGGCTTGTTCTGACATGGATTCGGCTCAAAAATGCTGCAAACTTACCAACGAGTTGTGAACACATCGTGTCTCTGCGACCCCTGACCTTCAACGTTATACCTCCAGTCTTCGGACAGGGGCATATTATACCTTAAACCTGAATTCTTGTTTTTCCAACTATTGATCCCCAGGAATCAATACTTTCATTCTTGATTTCACCGACGCAGTTTTCAAGGCTCCAACACCATTATTGCGGAGCTGTTATTATTAGAAGCAACAAATCATCAAATATTCTTATTCTTATTATTATTATTATTATTATCTCCTCCTTCAAAAATCCAGCAATACCTTTTCCAACTATTCGCCTCAGGACCTCACCAACAGCATTATTATTATTATTATTATTTCTATGATGATGATGATGATTATTATTATTATTATTATTAACGCCGATTGTAACACCATCTATTGCGATTATTATTAAAAAATTTATTATTATTATCATTATTATTATGAAGATTGTAACGCCGATTGTAACACCATCTACTGCGACGGAAAAAAATTTCCTCTCGTTAACTATTCTTTCCAGCACCAAGCATGGAGAAGTTAAAGGTACAAAAGCTTCGTTGTGGGTCGTTTGTGGAAGATGTAGGCACAAACACATTCAGCGTCACATTCACCTGGGAAAAACCGTCCTTCGACCGCAGTAACGTTCACTCCTATGATGTTTCTTACGAATTCCAAGGTGGTTACGTACGGGAGCAGCTGAATTGTTCACCTTTGGTGAGAACTGCACTAGGATGCTCAAACAATAGAATGGTGCGTTAAGTAACTAACTCGTGGACAAACGGTTTAATATCAGCACGACGAAAAAATGGATTTGCACAATTCTTCTCCTCGCAGATATTAGACGCAAAAATAAAGAAACTGAGAAGTAAATCTGGGGTAAACACGGTAATGGCCACATTTGCCTTCATATTTACAACGCACCTGTGATTTTTGGTATGCAAGTGTGGCCAATACCGTCTTTTCCCCAGATTTATCCCTCAGTTGTCACAATTTTGCTACATGTTTGCCGAGAGCAAATTTGTGCAAATCCATTTTTTCGTCCAGTGGAAACTCAATTGGAGTTGGAAATTTGTTCGAATGTTAAGATTGAACGAAACTCAAGTCTGTAGATGACAGTTTCCCTCCCCCAAAAAATTGTCTTACGACCGCCTTGAAGCAGTGCCATTTTGACTATGTCAAGAGTGCAATCAGTAACAAATCAGTGAGAAAAGGGGACGAGCGTGCATACGAAGGCTCGTAAGGTGGTGTTGTTGGAGCTAGTCAGGTTGGCGCAAACAATGAAATTAAACAATAGATGTTCCAATGTACTAATTGATTGCACATTAATTAACTGATTTCAGTTTCTAATAAAATTAAAGTTAACACGTTTTACCATCTTTACAGAACGGGACGTCATTTAAGATAACAGACGTATTTCCTGGAGAAGAAATCAGCTTAAAGGCAAGAAAAATTCTGAATATTACAGGATTTTGAATTTTGAAAATTGGATAGCGATTTAAGAAACGCTTACTTCAGACTCGTTTTACAAGTATTGTTTGCGGGTGAAATATAGGTTTTTTAGTTATTAGTATAGGTAAAAAATTAGCATGATTTGTAGTGATATTTGGCATAAATACCAAGAGTGGTATTTCAAAATTGTTATACGTAATTTCACGAGCCGTTAGGCGAGTGAAATTTGAGACAATTTTGAAATATCGCGAGTGATATTTATGCCAAATATCGTGTACAAATCATGCTATTATTTGTTTATACTACTACCCGAAAAGGTTTTGTAATTTTAACATGTAGGTATAGTAAGTAAGCTGAAATACCGCTTCTCTAAGCCAATCAAATTGCAGAAATTTCTCATGTAGTAGTATATAATCACTGAAATATAGCTGTTGGTATTTAAGGGAAATATTACATCTGTCAAAACACACCATCACTTGCTGAAGTTACAACCCGGAGAACTTTTTGCTTTAATTGTGAAATTTGTTATTTTCAAGTAGCATGTCTTAATCACTAATTTACTTAATCCCCAACAGGTTAAACCTCTCTTCAACAACGATCATATCATAGGAATAGAAAAAGAAATCAGAGATACTGCTCCAGGTACGTGCTAAGTGTTTGTATTCGGATGAAGCATTTGTCCATTGAATTTTTTTATATTTCAACTTGCAAAGTTTTTTTTATCAAAATATATTTATTATGGAAAATCTGACCGATTTCCTTGAAACGGTGGAAACCAGTGTGGATCCGCGCCTGTACATCATTACATTTTTTCATCTGTTTGTGGCTTCCCTTCTAGGTACCTCTTACGCCTCACAAATCAGGATTCCAAATTATGAACTAGTGTTTTTAGCATTACACTTCCAATTTATGTGTGTTCCCACAGTTTTGGCATATCTCAACAAAAAAAAAAGATTTTCCCTTTATTATCTATCTAGGAACGTTTCAATGAAAAAATATTTATGTGCGACTGAAAATACTTGCAGATATTTTCAATATTCTCTTGAGGTGATTCTTAATTCCATACTTTATTTATTCCAATTTCTTTGTAGTGAATGAAGATTACTTCGTTTACTGGTCTTTATTTCATGAAAGGTTGTCCACTATTGCAACATCTATAAGTCATGAGCCTTTAGCAGTTCATTGTATGATTTACATTAATTGTTGCGTGACCCTTTCATGAAAAGAGTAAATTCTTGTTTCGTTTCTTATACCCTTTTTCACTAGAACCCAATGAGGAGCTTGTAAAAGTGATTGGATTGAAACATGGTGTCCAGATTGCTGGTCCTAACAATACGTTTAGCACAACAGTTTGGTGGGAGAAGCCATTATTCAATCACAGTGGAGTGAAGCACTACGTATACAAGGTTTTGCCTGTATCCGACCTAACAAGGCGAAAGAGAGACAACAAGGCTGGTTTTCAAACTGTAAGTTGATAAGAATGTCCGGAATGGAGTTTCACAAGGCCAAGTAGCAGTATTCCTAGGTGTTTCATGCTACAGAAACATAGCTAAGCTTTGGTCCGTGTGGTTCTCTTCATCAGTACCCGCATTTGCCTCAACCTTACCTTGTTTTATAGTTATTCGTAATGAATTTGAAAGGGTGTCACGTGTTGAAATATTATGCATTGTCACCGCCGCTGGTCCTATCCATTTCAGCGTCTCTCTGTTTTTTTTTTTTTAATGTTTTTTAATAGGCTGATACAAATGCTACTATTAGTGGGATCAACCGGGATATTTCTGTGGAGGTTCAGGTAAATATTTTGGTCAGAACCAGATCATAAGTGTTTGTCGTCCAATAAAGAAAATTTGGCGTTGTTGCGCAGATAAAGCCAAGAGCGTAACTGTCTTTCACGGAAGAAAACCTGCCCATGTCAAAGCTGGAAAGACACTCTCGCCTTACCAAAACTTACACTGACTAGAATACTTGTGCCAGCAATATACTGATGCTTCACATGTATATGCTATTTCATCTTGCACTTTTGGACAAAGTGTTCTCATTGGATAATTTCTATCAATATTCTTTTAGGTTACACCTGTCTTCCAGGTTCCAGTGGTCAATGGTATAAATGACCAGATTGACATTTCATGGAAAGATACTGATGTCCAGAACGGTATTTTACTTGTCAGTCCAATAATTATCTAACCCTCGCTGCAACCAGAATCGACAGAAAAGTTCGTTTCCTCGGTCAACGTTTGAAGTTTATATTATAAAGAGGATGGACTGGGCCGCGGAGAAGTGGAAGAGGGGGAGGGAGGGAGACAATATTCTCCACGCTTGTTACGTAATCGCTTGATTTTAGTTTATGTCGTTTATAATGACTGACAATGTTCTTTTTCAAATAAAGGTTCTTTCCAGTTTACTCCAGCTCAGATGGGCGGGCTTGTCATAGGCGCTATGCTTGGTGCCCTGATTGCTGTAAGCTTGGTGATTTGGTGTAACAGGCAAATAAGGATACGAATGGAAAAGAAGGGTCTTGTATCAGGGTAAGGAATCTTACAAATAAACACAAAGAAATGTTTGTAGCAAGATTTTGATGCCTTGCACCGAGATGTCCGCTAAAGAAATATCAATAATACTTTGATTACACTTATGATTGCAAATGAATACAACTTCATAACAGCAATACAACCAGGATAAGTAGTTGTAATGATTAATAAAACAACAAATAGTATTAATAAAATAGAAGATTGCGCCAGCTATCTTTTTAGCGATTCCATGAATTTAACTTCTGTCGTACGCCCTCCTGAAAATTAAGATTATAATGGAGCCTGCTTGGTGGCGTTATTAGGCGGCGAAGTTAAGGCCGGATGACTGGCCTTGTCTCCGACATTCTACACCAATCTGCATTAGAGAACGAAAATCCACTGAAAAGGAATTAGCATTAAAACATGTGATAAATCAGCTAAATGGAAGACAGTTTAACTAATAAGCCACTCCAGCAAGCTCCAGCCACCCTAAGGTTTTACAGTCCAAGAAAATCCTATTGCAGCTTTTTATGGTAATGTAAAAACATTGCATTGACGCACTACATTCCTGGTGTCTGAGCGTTACACGGAAAATCGTTGACTTTCACTGTCACAACAGCGTCAGTAGGAAAATAAAAGTCAAATAACCATAGCATTACATGTGAAATCAAGTTAGTAATCTAATTATTCTTTATTGTGCCAGAAAAAATGCGTTAATAATTGATCATTGGGAAGTGGATGGTGACCTGGTGTCTCTTGAGGAGGAGCTCGGAAAGGGTGCTTTTGGTAAAGTGTATAAAGGAACCATAAAGCAAGCAACTACAGTTTCACGTAGGCTTTCAGTGATGCCCCCAGTAAGTCCTCTTTGGAAATCTGCAACCAAGCAAGCCATGCCATTTACTGTGGCAGTGAAAATGCTTCACGGTAAATTTTGGGTCATCATTCCGTATTATTTCTATAGCCTGCACCACAGACGAAACTAAACTATGGTTAAGTCCGGCTGCGAAACAAAGCCAAAATCTTTTATCTCGACCCTCACCTGTGTTCCAGGATTTGAGTCTGTTGGGGGCACAGAACAAGGATCTCGGCGTTCCTTTGCAGACGTTCCTAACCGAGGTTAAATTACGTCTGCAATGCAGGCTAATCTTTTCCTGTAATCTCTAGTTTCTAATTTTTCTTTTTGACATCAGTGCGTTAACGTTAATATTTGAGTACCACAGTTTTCATTGAAACCAACCCCTATATTTTTATGTGGCTAAGCAGGCTGCGAACAGATTTAAGATTCGACTCAGGGTAGGTTAGTAGAGAATTTTTGTAACTGTTTCCGATTGTTATTATCTACAGGTATGGCAGATAGTGATCAAAGAAGGGAGTTTCTGGAAGAAATTCAATTGATGAAAGCCGTGGGTTCGCACAAGAATATTGTTAATATGGTCGGTTGTTGCACTGTGGAGGAACCCATGTTCTTGTTGGTTGAATATGTCCCTTATGGTGATCTACTGCATTACCTCAGAAAGCGCCGAGGAAAGGTACACACAATAAAGGAATCTCGTCAAAGCAACTTCCTTTGGGAATGAATAATCAACGCCAAACTGTTTAAAATGGACCTTTAAAAGAACTCCCTGCACTTTTTTTAAAAGGTTTATCTTTATTGTCTTGCCAAAGACATTAATATTTACCACAGACTCCGACTGTCGTAAGCTTCCTTAATCTGGTTCTTCTTTGACCGTAGTATTTGCTACAATCAGTATAGGGGAATTTAGAGGCCTCTCCCTTCTTGATAACTCGTTTGGCCGAACACCTTAAAACAGAGTTTCTTGTGTGCTTTACCACGCTTATCACTCCTTCACATGTCAACCATTTCATCCCCTTAATATTTAAAACCATATTGCAGATACATTCAAAAACTATATACTAGATTTTTTACAAAGAAACTGGTCAATGGATTAGTCATTCTGTATGTATCGCTAAATGAATACCAACAAAATATGATTGTATCTTCCCCTTTACATGAGAACTGGGATGAACTTTTTGCTTCTTTTTCAGGTAAAAGAGTACCTCGGAGACGAGTCAAGAGGTCCATACCGCTCAACATATTGTGAGACATATGTACTTGATGCAAAGCGGGAAGGAATATCAATGCAGGTACAGAGTCGTACGAAATATTTGTTTCATGAGTGAGTAATTAAAAATAATTTCAAAGCGCACCACCAGTGCGGTCATTTTTTTCCTGGTCAATTTGGCGTTGATTATATTTTATGCTAGACTTTATGTATGTTTGTTCTCCGGTTGGCTTTCTCTTCCTTTTAGTGTTTCAGCTTAAGCGGTTAACCACCATCTGGGTTAGTTCGGTTGCCAGGATAAAGCGCCGGTCTGCCACTTGCCCAAGCCTCGGAGGGCCCGCAACATTTGGGGTCTTAAAATAATTAAAGGAGAAAGTGCTGCCTTTTTAATGAGAACTTCAAATGGTTAGACTTTCTAGTACGTCTTAGACAAGAATGATAAGACGCACAACACTTGCACATATAATACTTTCTTTAGGACATGCGCTGTTCTTAAAACTAGCTATAGTGGGTCACGACCATGGGAAATCCTTCTCAAATTCACACTCACATTAGTGGCGGACATTCCTGATAACTCATGAGTACTTCAAAACTTATGAACTGTATTATAAGCAGCCTTTCTCCAACCAAAGTTGTAAATTATACCTGAAAAGTCTTGAGGGGAGTGAATAATGACATATTCACAATTTATTGTGGTTTATAGGTAATTTTTTTCTATTTAATTTTTAGGCAACTAGGAGCGATCGCATTTACGTTAATACCCCCGAAGCTCCAAAGAGTGAAGGGGGAAACGTGCAGATTCTTTCATTTTCTCAGTCTTCAAAAACGGGTGAGGAATTCGGAGCTGAAAACAAAGGGATGGCGAAAGATGAAGTTCACTCAGACGAAGACGACGGCGAAAAAGATGGCCTGACACCAGGAGATTTACTGGCATTTGCCTGGCAAATAAGCGAAGGAATGGTAAGCATACTACATGATTGGATGTGAACACATATATAAGGCAAATTTCAAAATTTTTGAACCTTCTCGGTTGAGTTTGTTTTGATTCTGACAAAGACTGGTGCGGAAGTTGCTTAATTCTGTTAGAGAAAACATATATATATGGAGTAAGTACAGGCGACTCCCGATAACTCGAACCTTCAAGTTAAGGGAAATCGAAAAAAGTTCGAGTTATCGGGAGTTTGAGGCAAAAAACCGGCAGTAAGGAAATAAGCAAATGAATGGGGAGGGAGTGCAATTAAGCAATAAAGCCTTGCACAGGGATGGACACTGAATTTGAACTGGAGTGGCAAAAAGTAAAAGAAAGATTTGACACGGTTGCTTTGAAATAAATTCAGTGTCTTGGACCCCAGTACATGGTTTTTTTCTCGCCTTGTCACGCGCTTATAACATGGTTCGGGTTATCGAGAGTAGAATTGAATAGAAATGATCTGAAAGGAAACAAAAATTACTTCGAGTTAGCAGGAGGTTCGAGTTAACGAGGGGTCGAGTTACGGAGGATAAAATTATAGTTATGTAAGAAGGAAATCCAGGGGAAATCGACTTTGGTTCGAGTTAGCGCGAGGTCCGAGTTAGCGAGGGTTCGAGTTATTGGGAGTCAATTGTATTCGATTACATGATACACCAAGAAAATATCATAGGGAAACAGATCACACCGGACGAGTTCATCCTGGTTGCTCTGTCTTGGCGACGAAAAGTTCATCCCGGTACGAAATCTCTCGCAAGTATCATGTAAACGAAGATTGACCACTCTTTTTAAAACAAAATCTGTCTCCCAGTTGAATGGAACGGTGGTGGCATGCGTAGTTTTCGTCGATCTAAGACGGCGTCAACATGTTGGGCAATTTAAAGAAAAAGAACATGGATGCGAGTAACCTCAAGTAAAAAAATAGGGCTCTCAAACATAAGTAGGATTCAAAAGAGAGATATAATCCCGGCAATTTTCGTAAATTTAAAGTGCAAAGTATAATGGGGTGTTAACACTGAAACATAATTATATAACAAATTTCAACAGGAATATTTGGCGAGAAAAGGCTTTGTACATCGCGACTTAGCAGCCCGCAACGTTCTTGTTGGAGAGAATAAAGTTGCGAAAGTAGCAGATTTTGGTTTGACTCGACACGTGTATGAAGAAAAGGTTTATCATTCTAAAAGAAGCAGGAAACTTCCCCTGAAATGGATGTCTATTGAAGCCATATTTGATCAAACATTCACCTCACAGAGCGATGTGTAAGTAGATTTTCTATATTCAAAGGTCAAATTAAGGATAAATTTATAAACTATATAAATACTGATGTAAGTAAGATCGATGGCTTAATTTGTAAATGGCTGACCACTGACTGTTCCCCTCCAACCTGCGATCAGGCGGTCCTAATCTTCCCCTTTGTTTGGATACCGGAGTCCGGTTAAGTTTTGCTTCTGAAATCTGGAATCGGGAAGTTTTTCGCTTGTGCAATCCGGAATCAAGGGCTCTAGAGTACGGAAACTACAGATTAAGGAATCCAGGAAAATTCCGCTAACAATTGGAATCCGAAATCCAAGTTCCATGAGAATCCAGTACCAGTACCTAGAATCCGCAATCTACGGTGTTGTATCCAGAATCTATGCAAAACTATCTAAACTATCTTGGATTACTTTACATGTGGTGACTAACCAAAAAGTGCCATTCATTCCACTGATATTAAACGAGTACGATATAACATGAAATTCTTTCATTAATTGCTTTATGAGATACGTAAGGTTGTAAAAATTAAGATTCACCATTCGTCTCATTGTTCTTTCACTTATCAGCAAAGAGGCGCGTCCTGTCGTATGTAACGCTTCACTGAGTATTTGGACCTATTGTTTTTGTTGTTTATTGTTAGATGGGCCTTTGGCGTTCTCTTATGGGAGTTGGTCACACTTGGTGAGTTTTCACGCATATTTATTACTCGTTAGTTGTGTTTCCTAAGCACTAACTGAGGTACCATCGGTTAAGAACTGTTTTATAGAGATACTGCCGTCCAACCCTGCAGCACCAGTTTCGATCTGTCCCATCTTATCGCTACGTCTTTTAATTTTTTTCTGGGCAACGTTGAAACTAGTTATTAAAAGGGTTTCAAAAATTCTCAGATTATTGAAGTTTCTTTCATGATTTGCACAATTTACAGCCTGCATGAACTAGTTTCCACTGCAACAGACTGGATTGTATCTGAAAATTCTAGATTAATTTTTTTCGAAATAAATTTCTTGAATTTCGATCAGGAGGCTTTTATTATTAGTTTTTCCCCAATTTTATTCTTTCATTGTATGTTTTAAAGTTACTTCAGAACAAAGATTAATTCTAATTCGCTCGTATTTAGGTGGCACGCCATATCCGACAATAAGCAATAGGGAAATGCTTCGCCTTTTGAAAACTGGCTATCGCATGGAGAAACCAGATATCTGCGATGATGAAATGTAAGTTATAACTCTGTACTTAGATTATTCTATGGGTTATGTTCCAATTATTACTCAGGGCTTTTTAATAAGTAAAAAACACGCGACTTTTAAAAGCCGTTAACAATTGTTGCATTCAACAATGTTGGATAATGTTGCTTATTATGCTGGATCATTCCGTTTGAATGGATTTCAAGGCTGGGCTGAACGCTCAGTTAATTACATTCTTTGATTTCGTTATAGCTACGAGATAATGACGCATTGTTGGATTGAATCACCTGACGACAGACCAAACTTTACGCAGATAAGAGAGAGACTGGAAGTGATGATGCAGAAGGATAACCCTTACCTGGATTTTAGCGTATTAGATGAAAGAAGGGAATATTACAATGTACCGTCATTTAACAGTCTCGTTGATGAAACCACAGACGACGAGCTTCTTGACAAAGAAGACGACGAACTCTCAAGAGAAACAAGCGATGACTTCAATGAAGGGGAAAACATTGACCCAGGCGACTCTGCAAAAAGGAAGGAACTTGCCACCATGGCCAAGGCATTCAAGAACCTTGACAAAAGGGGTGATAATTTTGATCCTGGGTTTGAACTCAATGGCAGTAAGTTGGCAGGGAAGGGATTCAGTGAATTGAAGGATATTAAAGTGGATTTCGACACCATCGAGATGTCAATATATCACCCGCGGAATAAGGAAATTGCCCTCTAGCAGTCAAATTATTAAGCAATCGTCAAAGGCTGCCCACTGTCCGCTGGAAAGTTAATTTAACTGTTGCAACTCTCATACAAGAATAACGTGTTTGGTTTTAACACAGATACTAGTGACGATTACAAACTTGTCCGTATTCATTGTCGAAATCCAGCTGAAAATGGAAGGTGTGGTTAGTGTTGCCATGCCGGTGTTCCACTTGTCATGCTGTACAAGAGCAGGTACATTTTTCTGAACAACGAGTCTGATCGATTTTAAGTTACTATATTTTCCCCTGTAACTTCATGAACTGAAACAAAGAACTTTGAGTGCTAATTTTGTCTTGAAGATTGTTTAATCATACCTAAATCAGATATTTGTAGTTTAAATGTTTACTTAGGAGACTTTTTAAGTCTGGCTAGCGTAATTACATTTTATCTTGTCTTGTTTATCCATTACGATTAAATAAAGTTGTAGACAAAAAAACCGCTTACTAGTTCTGGGTTCTGAGAACTTCTGAGTGATTTGAGGACGAATCACTCATTCGCGAAAATCGAAAATCGAAAAAAAAAAAAAAAATCGAACGATTGATCAAAATGTCCAAATGTCAGGAGAAAATCTGGAGATCTCCGAAAATATATCCTACTGTCCGTGAAATTTAAATTGTTTTCGTTTTGTGCTTCAAGTTCAGCTTCTTGGCTGATAACCTTTTAAAGTTATACTGATAAAAGATTCATTGGTAGATTATTACGTCACAAGTCCACATCATTCCGTTCAGTTACGTTTGTGGAAAATAAGTGACCTGAGACACAGTCTTCTCAAGTTTATCCTCCGGGGAAATTTCTTCACACCCTGATGATAGAAACTTTCTAATAACAATTAAAGAGATAAAAACGATAACCACTTAAGCCATTCGTTTGCATTGATAATCAGCCGGGCACGTGACCTTCTTCGCCTCATGTAAGGTAATCCAGTTTCAAGAATCCGGGGAATTTTTAATAGTGGCATGCAGAATCTGTGAAACTGATTCGCCTGTGGATTCCGGAATCCTGGGCTTTGAAATCCGTAATTCAGCTAAAGGAATCAGGAATCCCGTTAACGATTGGAATCCGGAATCCAAGTTCCACTGACAAGAAATCTGCAACCCCGCAATCCACAGCCTGGGATCCGGAATCCAAGACTGCCTTGGATTTCCTTACGTGGGCTGACCTTCTGCAAAGAAGAGAAGACTAAGAGCTTATCAGTTAGGTACAATACTCTAAGGCCAGGGCAAAACTCAGGAGTGATAACCAGAGATGATCATCAGAGCAGAAAGAAGCCTCAGCATCTGTATGAGAGAATAACTTTCTCAGAAATTAGCTTCCACTTTTCTACCATTCAGTGGATTGGTTGGCCGAAAGTTGTCACACTCGGAGCCTTTCCCGGAAGTCAGTTTTTTGAAACCCAAAAGCTGTGAAAAAAGAAAAGAAAGAAAAGGAGGAGTTTTTGCAACTATCCTCAGGTCCGGATTTATTCCCATCTTGACTTTCTTTATTCTCTTTCTATATCATTCAAGTGTTTTTCTTTTCGTGTGGTCTTTCGTTGAGTTAATGTATAGTTGGCATTATTATCTTTAACAATGATTTATGAAAAAAATTGTAATTTGTAAACATATTTGCTAATCCAGATCACTGTTGATCTTACAGCTAAATGATCATTTAAATTAAATGCAAGCTAAATCAGCAAATGTTAGAAATTTTTAAAATTTGTTATGTAGAAAGAGGAGTACTAAGGAGCTAAACAAAAATACCTGATTTTTGGTAAACATTATCTGGTTCTTCATAACAATCCATCGCACGGATTGATAGCAGGGAGGGGTAGTTAAGGAGCCCCTATAAGTGTAGTAAGGCGCATGCTCTTTCGCAAGGTCAGGAATAAGGTCAGCCAAGGTCAAATTGTCAGCTGGAGTGTAAACGGGGATGCTTGATCCTGTTAAGTCATGTAAAGCAATTCCATACACCTTTAGTTAGCAAAGTATTGCGCAATTAACCTATTTATCAACACGGATGCGAAGTGGTACAGTGCTCCACCTTCGGGAAATATAGCATATTACAACTATAAAAAAGCTTTGACCAATATCAAGACAGAGTAATGGGACTATTATCCTCGCTTGCCAATATCATTGAAAGGGACATTTCCTAAAATTTACCTAACAACATTTTTCGAATATGATCGTAGTTTAAGATATCGTTCAAGAAATTCTGGAAGATTTTCGATGATTTCTGTGCCTGATAATAACGGTAATAACGAAATTCACATTCCACTAAACTGCATGGCTTAACATATCCTCTCTAACCTTTAGCGCATCAAAGCAATTGGCCTGTTGCATAATAAATGTAAAAGACTTCTTCATATCAGTGACAAACCTTCTACTGCAACATCGTCCATTTGATCAACAATGCTATCCAAAGCTTCATTATTGGACTTCCCCACCTAAAATTAATTATTAGTAGTGGTAATTAACTACTGAGTTGTATTTGTATTTTATTTTATTTTTTACTCCATCCTATAATACATTAGTTGTACAAAAATACAATATTAATAATACATTAGTTGTACAATATCAATTGGTGCAAAGTTGCTTAAACTACGTGTACTTAATAATAATAATAATAATAAAAGAAGAAAATTAGAATGGAGAAGGGCACATTATAGTAAAACTAATCATGGCCCTTTAACAAGATTGACTTTATTCTTTTGTAGTTTTGTTATTCATTAAAACACAGACACGCACGCACGCACACACACACGCACACAAGTCAATATTGAGCAAGATAATATTTTTTAAGTGCATTTTTGAACAGCATTTTCGATGATTTATTGCGAATACAAAGGGAGAGATCGTTCCAATAGTATTTTCCAATGACGGTAGGGCAAAACTTTCGAATATTAATTCTTGAGTACTGTACTGAGTTGGGTTTTATCTCTCTGAAACACTGGTCTACTAGAACTATTTTGAACTGGGATAAGTTCGACCTACCTTAATGAGAACTGATATCGCTGCTAGACCATCTTGCAATGGGGCTGCATTTTCGTAACTTCCATACTCTGTGTTGAAAAACATCAGTTGCAACTGTAAAGAGACAAAACCGTTTACACTTCTTGTTTGAAAACTTAGTATAGTTTTGAGAGGTTACGAAGTAGCATACAGCTTAATCATCAATTATAATCATAATAATCATCAATAATAATCATCATCAAGCGGAAATCCCTAAATAGACTGAACAGGAATCCAAAACCTTAAAAGCTGAAACATCATATCTTATTGGCAGATACATCGTGACGTCGTTGTTTACTTTTTGCCACGTTAGCCAACGGCTTAAGCATCGCAAGAATAGTTGAGTCGACATGTGCAGTTGAAGCGTGCGAGACAATGATTTCACTCTCTTATTACAGAAGACATGAAATTTTTTTTTTTTACTGATTTATTAATACGATATTGGAAACTACCCAAGCTGCCACCGATCTAGTTTAGGCCTTCTGTTGTCAAATTTTTTTTAAAAGTGTTTCGACTGAAAACGTATCATTTTCAACCATATTGTTGTTTCCTGCTACTCATGATACACCACTGACCTCACCTTTGATCCATCTAAATTCACTTTTCCCCCCGCTTAACGTCAAAGAGAATTTCAAAGTTTAGAGAGGAATTCAATTAGTTAAGAGATTCTATTTTATTAGCTTCATCAGATAATGATAAGCTTATGCTAATGAGACAAAAAACGTAAACGTAAGGATTCGCCTTTTTCGTGTAGGTTGAACCTTTTACTTAAGGTCGCTACACACTAGGCGATAAGTTGCGGCGACAGATCACTCCGTGTGTACAGGTCTGGCGACTAGCTGCAGCAACATGTTGCGGCGACACATCGCAGCGACAAATCGCTTTGTGTGTTAACTGCAGAAATTTTGTGAAAATCTTTGTCTCTGCAACAGAATTTTGTCGCCGCAACAAGTCGCACAAATTCTGTCTGATTTTATTTTTTGCAACATGTTGATGGGACAAAATTCTGTTGCAGAGACATAGATTTTCACAAAAACTATCCAGTACACACAAAGCGATTTGTCGCTACGACGTGTCGTCGCGACATGTTGCTGCAACTAGTCACATGGTGTACCAACCTTTAGCAAAAATTTCTGGCTTTTTTTGTAATAAATTTGCATAGCTTCAAGCCACGTGAGTGAAAAGGCTCTAAAATAGTATTCATTTTATTAGGGCTCAATTTAACAAGGTTCATGGCATAGTTACATTAGCCCATTTTATTTGCATGATGACGTCATTTTACTACTACGACCAGAATTCTTCATGGTTTTTCTTTCTTATGCAAATTAGGTCTTCTGTTATTAACCTCGCCGGGATTACAAATTTAAATATGAAAGAAAAAACGAAAAGGTTTGTGGTCGTAGTAGTAAAACGACGCCATCTTGCAAATGGCATATTGCGATCAAACTTAACTCAGGTTTATGTTGCCACTTTCACAGAACAGTATTCTCAAAAAAAAAAATTGTGCTCGTTTTCAAGATATTGAGGACAGTGTACTGTGAAACCGACAACATAAACCTGACTAGTTTGATTAAAATTTTAGCTGAGAAAGTTTAAGCTAAGTACTGACCTAAAGAGCACTCTGCAAGAAAAATCCCAGTCTGCTGGATAGTGCAGACAAATCGATAATAACTAATACCAAAGTGCGGCCTACCTCAGCTGGAAATTTTTTTCCGTCTACGGTATGTTCTGAGCCTCTGTCCGATTCGCATCCAAAATGGATGATCAAATCATGAAGTTGAAAAACTTTGTTGTACAGTGAAGGGATGGCAGTCAAATTACAGATGCCTCGTGTTTTGTCGACCGTTAAGACCGGTTCGTGTCCGTCATTAAGCAGAATTCCATTAAACAGGCCTTTGTCGTTATCACACGTGATATCTAGCTCTCCCAGAGAAGCATCTGCTTCTACGTTCTTTGTAACAATATCGATTGGTGATTGGTTAGATTGTCGGCACGCGTTGGCAACATTTCCCCATGCTTCAGGGCCGTAAGCTGTGTGCCCAAAGAATAGCACACAGTTATGACCGAGAAAGGATGAACGGTAATTTCAAGCAAATCCCCCATGTCAACGGCCTTTTTTTTTTTCACTCATATGTAATCCCTGTGCAAATATTTTCAGCACCAACATTGCAGGCGTGGAATTCAAATTTGGAACAATTATATATGAGCCGTGCATTTTAATGGGAATGACTGATTTTTGTTTCTTTTATCTATTTACTCATCTAATTTTCGCAAAAAAGTGAAGATGGGAAAAAGCAAAAGCCATAAAATTTTAGAAACAAAGAGTGAATTTTTTTTTTGGTTGAATGCAATGAAAATGTTAAATTTTAATTTACTTGAATTGGTTACTTTAAGGGTACTAGTTAGGATCTTTATGGAGGATTACCGTATTTATCTCCCTCATTGCTTTTAAAACCCAAGTTTGACTGAGATTCTTATACCTAAATACCTTTATTTATGCAAACAAACAATAATAACTAAGAAAGTAAGTTATGACTATCATAAAAAATCTCCCAGAATCTTTTGACGTAATTAAAAAAAAAAAAATCTTTTTAACTTAGAGAATTTTATACCTAGAAGAATGTCGGACCACAACAAAATAACATTTGCCATAAAATATCTTCCCATGTCACATCTAGGGTAATGCCGTCATCAGTCACATAACTATTGTCGAATTAGGTTTTTTGGTTGCTGTGACAAGATTTCACTATCGAGTTTAAAACAAATGGCATATTCGAGGTTTTAATTGTGTGGGGCATTTGAAAATAACCAGTTGACTTCCCGCATTTAAAATTTACGGGGCAATGCATTGAACGAAAAAGTCGGAGGACTAGGCCGAGAGTCGACTTTTCATCACACGGCAGTGAAAACTTGCAGGCCCCAGTTGTTCGAAATGTGGATAACGTTATCCACCGGATAAATCTCTATCCACTGGATAGCGCACTTGGTTTCCCTAATACTTAACTTTTGGATAGTAATTTATCTGGTGGATAGCGCTATCCAACGTTTAAACAATCGGGCCCAGGAAAGTAATGTTTCACCTGATAATTATTTAACGATTAAAAGAGGGACATGACGTCATCAGTCACATGACCAGAGCGTTTTGAATATTTTAGTCCGTGTTTAAAGTACATTTTCTGTCGTAAATTGGCAATTTTCACACTGTATTGCCTCTGAGTAGTTATTCCTCCATTTTCAAAGCAGAAGCAAGCGAAAACTGATTCAGAAGTTGAGAAGTTGCTTAAACTGACCGACTTTGCAAGCTTAAATTAGGAGACTTACTTTTGAGAGTTTTCTAGAATCCTTTTTTCAACTAAACTGTTTTTGCCGAAATATAAGTTCAACGTGTTTTTAATATTAAAAGGAGAACTTTAAAATAAGCCAAAAGGATCTACTTGGCGGCCGCATTGTGTTTATTCTCTTCGAGGAGAGAGTTAATGTTTGTTTTCTCTTCCCGCCTCACCGGCCCATTCTATGTTACTCCGGGTTACTATGTATCTTTCCTCCGGAGAGGCCGCCAGACCTCTCATTCCTTATATAAAGGGAGAGGGGTGAGGGACTGTTGTAAATAGTATACTATCCTGATGTCTTGTGGCAATGATATTATCTATACCGTAGGAGGACAAAATTAAAGTGCTGTACAAGAGAAAAATGCTCGTAGCAATTTCAGCAAATACACTCTTACTACAGAATAAGTTTAAATCGAATAAAATTATGTTGATAAACAAATTTGTTCGAAATTTTTCCTTAAAAAAGTGTTTATATCAGGAAAAGTGAATTTTAAAATCGCTTATTTTCACTTTCAAATTTCGCGGGCGCCGCCATCTTGAATAATTGTGACGTGTTACGCTGGCTCTATTGTTCTGACGCAAAGAGCTTTAGTTTAATAACAATAGGGCAACCGTAACACGTCACAATTATTCAAGATGGCGACGCCCGCAAAATTTGAAAACAAAAATAGGCGAATCTAAAAGTTATTTCTTTCGGATACAAACGCTTTCTTTAAAAATATTTTAGATTGACTTGACTGTAACAGTTATTTCCTGTGATTTAAAGTTATCTTTTTGTTGAAGTGGAGGTTCCCTTTAAAGAGGTGCAAATCACAGTAGAAATGACAAAATACTCCTACGGCGTAATTTCACAAAATGGGGGATACCGTTTTTAAGCTCTGAAAGGAACCTCAGGCTAGGAAATCAACACCAGAATGGAACGTAAAGTGATAACCAAGAAGCTTGGGGTAATGTAACTGTTTCAAGCACTCCATTCTTTGCGAATTTGAAAATAATAATCAGTCCTTCCATCATTTAAGAACAGCTGAACTGATAGTTTAATCAAATTTAGTTAATTGCGAAAAGGAATACATATAAGGACTTACTTCCGTGAATTCCATCACTGTCTCCGTATTTCCATGTACTCCCTGTGTGTTTAAGAACATTAGCATCGCCTTAAGTTATGAGATTTTCGGAAGATAAATAATTTGAATACTAAGTAGTCATGTAAAAATTTAAACTTTGTTTTGACGTCTTACTTGCGGACACCGAAGAACTTATAATAAGAAGTATTGTTGTGGCTGTAAACGCCATCGCCAAGACTTTTCCCCCTTAATGCGAAGTCTTTAAAATCGTTGACTACGGTCTGAGTAATTTACGCTCAGGTGTCTTTTGCAAAACAATAACATGACACTTAAACTTCTACCTGTTTCTGTAGATCAAAACAATTTCATTCAAGTATGAGGTTTTATTGTCTGATCTCCAAATGTTTATGAGCCTTTGTGGTCTAACTGTAGTTACAAATATTTACATTTTTTAATCGCGGTTTCTTATATTCTCGAAATGAATTGGTCTTTCGTGAGAGGAGGGTCGGTTTAAGTTAAATGGTATGATCGGCAATATGGTTAGATCATCAAACGAAAATGATAGTTGGGTAACATACAAAATTTATAACTTCCAAAACCCTTAAATCAACAAATCTGTGATGCCACTTTCCTTTGGCCACGTAAAAATAATTAAAAGAAAAGCTTAACCGCTGCACTTGATACATCTTTCCGAACAACAAAAATGATCAGAAACACAGGCATATTTAACTCTTGTTTATAAACAACCTGTGGAGTGTTTATTCAAATGTGTAAAATTGTTTAACATGACCTTCACAAATTAAAAAATAATAATAATAATAATAAGTACCTTACTGCCGTTAATAGATGTTAAGTACGGCCGGTTCTAATGTAGTTTAGGCCGCGCTATTTTACTTACAACAAGTAAATGTCTCGAATATAATTCAACGCTGGTTCAGATGCCGAACTTTTCATGAGCCGAACCAAATTCGAATAAGGCCGACCCAAATACGACTACGACTACGACTCTTTCTACTTCGCCACAGAAATCGAAATTTCTAAATAATTATCAAATTTTCTTTAAAGAATTTGATGAAAATGAAAACATTTACCGGCTGGGCTGCAAATAAGGTATCGAGAAACGGCGTTTAAAAGTTCTCTCGTTTTCCGCAGATGCTTCAATCCTTTGCACTTGAACAATGTTTTGATTTGTTCTACATTACATTTTCCTGGACGTTCCTCGAATTTAGAAACTGGAACGTTCCTAAAAACGTTAAACTGCGAGCAGAAATGATCGCAAACTGTACGTTTCCATACAACGTGCTTGCGAACTCTAGCAGAAATGGCCAATGTTTGTCTGAGTCTCGGTGGGTGGGGGTCACGTTTCTGTGAACTGTGCGCAGCGCCTGATTCAGACGCCGAACTTTTCATGTACGTATTCAATGCATTAGGTTCGACTCATGAAAAGTTCGGCATCTGAACCTGTCCTTAGTAAAGTTCTTAATTTCACCGTTTCGGAGCCTTCATGAAGTTGTTTTCCACGCCACTGGATCCAGATTTTGTTTCGTTGTGTCTCTCGTGTACGTGCCACAGACAGCTGCAGTTTTTAGTTCTCTAAGTTCTATCGTCGAATCCAGGGATAGCTTATATATTAAATAAGTTATGCTGGGATTCGAATCCCAGCTAATGAAATCCTAATCCGATAGCTAATGAAAGAGAATGCTGATCTTCTAATGGATCCCGTTACAGACATTCCCAATAGCTCCTTTAGCCAGTTTATTAATATAGTAAAAGTTGAAGAAGATCGGTTATAGAGTTCTTGAGTGATGACGTCATAAAAATAAAATTTATGAAATTTGGAATTTGTTGGGATATTTTGAAAGAACAACATCTGAAAGGCCCACTTGACTAAAAGTAGCAATGTGGAACAAATTGTAGCCTGCGAATACAGCCGTTTCTCGTTGCTCCTCTCCGCTAAGGACGTTTCGTCAGGAAGGAAGTCCTTAGCGGCGAGGAGCAAGGAGAATTGTCTGGGTGATGCTAGTCCCGTTTTGCTCTAATGACTCCACACAAATCCTTCTAAATTTGACTCTGTACTTAATGTTATGAACGGGGTCAAATTCAACCTCGTCCCCAGGGCGCTTCAGGGAAAAGCGCCCTGGGGACGAGAAATTATTACCGTAAAAAAAAGATAAGCTGCTTTTATGAAAAAATTTCTGTTGCATTAAAACCTAGTCTGAAAAGTTTATTCAAATAGGCTGTTAATTTTCTTTTTAGCCTCTAAACTATCAATACCGGGCTGACTGTACGCTGTAGATTGTTATAATTGGCCTTACCTTTAACCAAAGTGATATCCCTTATTATAAACAATTGTTATTCTTAATTGAGGACCAGAAAACGCTGAATACACTGATAAAAAATTAAAGTTGTTTGGGTTTGTCAAAAAGAAATTATTACCGTAAAAAAAAGATAAAAACGATTGCAAGATCATGGAATTATTGACTTTCAGTTACAGGTGCGGTCAAAGAATGCTCATAAACTGTCGTATATATATTGGCATATATATTTGTATATATTTCTATGGTTAGCAAAAAATATTAATATGACCTGTTTAAGGTTCAAAGTATTTCTTGGCGAAAAGAATGAATAAAACTTAGTTACAGTAATTGAGAAAACCCCAGGCTATTGGTCTATAATGAGCAAAATATTAAATGAATGCAATATACCCCGAATCATCACCAGCTCACCAATTAACATTCCCGACTAGTTTAGGTTTACTCTAGAAACCAATGTCTAAGGGTTTTCCATTCTTCTTAAGTTGTAATGAATTGAATTTTAAATTAAGTGAAGGAAAGTAACACTTTAAAAGTAGTCTAATAACGGTTTGAATTACAGCGAGCTAGTTTTTAGAGAAGCGATAGTTGAGCTTTCTTGTACATTAACAATTCGCTGTCTCCTAGTCGTACAGAAACATAGATTTTTATACTCGTCTCTGAAGTTTTTATTCAGCAATCCGTATACAATCGGATTTATGCAACCCGATAAGTTTCCAAGAAGGAGGTAAAAATAGTACACTTCCCTCGGAAATGAAGCTTCCCCTCGAAACGTGTCCACAAAGTCTATAATGGCTATTGGGGTCCAACAAGTAAGAAAACCGAGGACAGTGATAAAGCGAATTTTGGTCACTCTAACGTCTCTCTGAGAAATCTCTTCAGACTTAGACGCCAAATGTAGATTGTTTTGAACAGTTCGTTGGTGGCCTCGAAGTTTCTTAAAGACCAGAAGATAGCAAATACTAAGGGTGACGGTTGGTACGCCAACGTAAAGATAGACGATGAAATGTGGAACTGAGATTTCATTCGTCTGAAAGCAAAACAGCTTTCCAGGATGAAACACGTAGCGTCTTCCAGAAGACAGATACGGAATTGGCTCCAGGCAAGCCAAGCCGAAGCAAAGTGCAATCATAATAATGGTATTCTTCTTGGTAAAGACCCTTCTGTAATGTCTGGTTCGCACTATTCTGTAGAATCGATTGATTGCAGTCAGTGTTAATGTCTGTAGTGATACACAAGCCATAACTATGACAAAGTAACCTTGCGCTTGGCAAACATATTCATTGAATGGCCAGCGTCCGAGAATCGTCGTTACAATAGACTGAGGGGCACATGTCAGTGGAAGAAGTATGTCGGACACAGCCAGGATGACTATGAAAAAGTTGGGAATCGTACGTAGCCGTACATTCTTATAAACCGCCAGAAGAACACATAAGTTTCCAATGACTGTGAACGTAATAATCAGAAGGTAGACAAGAGTTTCAATTATTACCACCACTTGTTTTCGCTCTTTAAGGTCTCCATTCAAATCTATAATTCCCTTCATTGTTTAAGCAACAGAAACGCAGCGTATTACCATCAAAAACCAGCAGTGGAGGAAAGAATGAAAAAAAACCAAGCAGTATGGTCTTTCCCGGATCCCAAAAAGAGAAACTGATGAAGTGCTCAGTGTCCCAGCGATGAAATTGCCTCAGTCAGCTACGTTGGGGTTGTGCAATAAACCGACTTGATTTCCACCAGAGGAACTGTGAATAACTATTCCCCAGTAGACTTGTTAGCCAAGTACGGTTTAGGTGACCTGATTTTAAAACGCCCAAGGATAATACTTGAAGCGTGATGAAGTTCGATATTCAGTCAAACATTCAGTTTACACGTACCGATTAGAAGTAAAAACGGGATGTTTCAAGGATGACTGTCAATCATGCATATTAGTCATTTTCTTTGTACTGATGTCGGACATGTCGGGTAGATACTTAAAAGGCAGAAATCTCATTTAATTTAAAGGCTGTCAAAATTAAAATATCGCTCCTGTCATGATTATACCTTTAATGTATACACAACCTGTCCTAACAATTCAAATGATTGAAATGAAATTCATTTGATTCAGTAAACTCTGTAACAAATATTATTGTGCGGGAGAGGATTAGTTAAAAACAACTTTCAGTTTCCCTGTCAGTTTCAAGTGCAGCCATTATTGCCTTTCAGATATAACAACCCTCTTAGCCCCAGCAGTCAATCAAGTGTATTAATATTGTTTTCCGGCTTTCCCGAATAAACACAAATATTAAATTAAATATTCCATTGTCAATATGGTAATCTGCACAATTTTGTACCTTTTACACTCAGTGTTTGACCTGAGATAGATAAAAAAATAATGGTAATAAGAAAACGGCCCTCTTAGGTTCCCAACGGTCAGCGAATCGGTTTAGCTGTAAGGATACTGCGAATATATTTTCGCATAGAAAAATCTGATTAAAACTACCGATTAAGTAACACTGATAAAAAATAATTTAGCGTCATTTTTGCAGAAAATTTTTGAACACAAGCTAACACTGCCGGGCAGTATGAACAGTTGAGCTTAACCACCGCTTGAACTGCGGTTGATGTATAAAAATGCAAAGCTGAAAAAAACAGAGGTGACTGTATCACTGCATTATATGGTGTGCAATTTTCGTTATTTTAATGCTGTTTGACAAAGTGCAATCAACATAAAAAATCAATTAGTAGACGAATATAATCAGTCCACCTGCTGTGCAATATATTTCATTTAGTGTGCATTTTGAGTCATAGATAAGATTCTATTTCAGTTTGCTCCAAAACGTGCTTCAAGGAAAACCGTATTTTTTTTCCCTATTTGTCGAGATTACCGCTCAGATAAAAAGTAAGAACGCCATGATTCCATAAACCCTAACCCACAAAATGACAAATTTGTGTTAAACCCAGCATTAAATTGCAGAGTTTAATGTTTGTGCTCTTGTAAACTGTACAAAATATATTTGAGTCGTTCAAGTCATCTTTTAGGACCTCTTCATATAAATTCGATGCAATCTTTCGCGGAGGCGCTTCAGTTTCCAATATCTCAACTAGCAACTATTCCCAATACTAAAAATTAGTCAAGAATATTTCCATAACAATAGCTACCCCATCAATTCTCTTGCGACTACGAATTTGTGTCGTGACAGAATATGACCAGCGATATCGCCGTTTTCTTGCTGGGGTGCATGATCGACTCACCGCCGCCCGTTCTGCACCATACCATAAGAGGTGTTTGTGTGTGTGTGTGTGTGTTTTTTTGTTGTTGTTGTGTTTTTGTTGTTGTTTTGTTTTGTTTTGTTTTTTTTTGTGGTGGAGGGATGGGTCGATCGGATGTTCTTTCCTCCCCACATGTACTCAGTCTAACATCAACGCAAATTGAATTCTACTATCCATTCTATTTTAATTTTTTTATATTTGTTAAGTTCTGGCAAGATGTAAATCAATAATTATAACGACATAGTACCCTGGATAAAACTCTTAAGAACTTTCGTTCTGCCACATAAAAGTAAAATTGAGCGAGTCTACGCAAAAAATAGTTTTGTGAGTATCTCACAATAAAGCTCAAATAAGTCGCATAAATTAGACACGCGTTGCACAGTATCCAAATTAAGAAAACAACTCTCAAAGGCCGTCTTTTCACGAGCGATTTTTCACTTCGCCTAAGCGAATGACGACCGAAAATCTTCTGAAAACAGCTGCTTGTCCAACTCGCTTAAAGTTAAGCGAGTGAGCAAACTTCAATGAAATTTCCATAGGTCGCTTAAACTTGTCGTACCAGGTCGCTTAAACTTGTCGGTGATTAACTTCGGCCAATCACATGGCGACGGAGGTCAAACAACTGATAAACTTGTAGGGTTAATGGACCTTGTATTCCTTTGCATTTCCCGCCGTAAGCTAAGCTTGCCATGGCCCATCCATATCATAGCTTCGATTTCAATTTTCCACACTTTTTGAATCAAAGCTGGGTAGTTTTTGCTTTAGTTACGGATTTTTATGTCATTGCATACGCAAAAAGGCCGACTTCGTATCTAAAAAACCATTATTTGGCTTACGACTCCGTTTGTGCTTCTATCCGATGGCGACCAGATCATCCCACGACGTACGATGATTTTCCCTCATTGGCAGCAAATTCAGCGAGACGCTCTCTCTCCTGGGCCACAAGTGCAGTCCGCTGCAAGCCACATAAGTCAAGTGGAAGTGAAATTAGCGAGGAATCCAACAGCAAGCCGTTAGGCCCCCGAAAAGTGCAATTACTGATCTCTGTGTGGAAGGAATATTTTCCTATCAGTAAGAGACGCAACTCTTCTGTTTCGGAACGCATCTCAAAGCAGTTAAATCAGATGCTTCCAGGGCCCAGTTGTTCGAAGGCCAATTAGCGCTTAACCCGGGGTTAAATTTAACCTGGGTTTCTTTTTCTTCTGTTGAAAAGCATTTTCTCGGATAATTTTCTCTGTTATTTTTAGAGCCTCCAATCATCAACTTGTAGACAAAAAGAATTAAAACTGAAATGCCTTTTAAGCTTTCAAATCTGAATTCAAATCTCGCACTAACCCTGGGTTATCTTAACCCAGCTTTGAACAACTCGGCCCAGAGCAAAATCTTCGCTGCGTTCGTACTTTACAGCAGTGCAAAGCAAAGATTAAGAATTTGGAAGATGAATTTAAAAGGATCAAGGATCATAACAACAAAAGCGGAAACGATCGCATAACCTTTCCGTACTTCGACGACATCAATGCAGTTCTCGGCTGTAAACCAGGTGATTTCTGAGACAAAGCGACTTACATGGCTTATACGGCGGGTTGTTGAAAAACTTGAACTTCGGACTACAACTTAGTTTTCGGTAATAAACTCGTTATATCAAGGTTCGGTGTTAACCTCGACAAACGAAACCTCATTAATTCGAGCGGACACATTTCGCCAGTCCCAGTTGCCTGGTCCTTCGTTATATCGAGGTTCTATTTCGAGGTCCTTTTCCATACATTTCACTATTATTGTGGGCGAAAAATATCGTCATACCGCGGACTTTTTGTAGTTTGTTATTAATTAAAAGGTTTGTTATATCGAGATCCCACTGTAATCTAAGAGGTGTTGACTAGGAAGCTTGCGCTAGAACCTAACCTGTGCTGTGATGAAAGAGTCCTTGCACCTTACCTTTTCTCTCCTCTCGTTAATATACAAACTCTTAATCACAGAAAAAAAACAGTTACCGGTCTAAACTATCCTTAGCTAGCGAAACTTGCTGTTGCATGCAAGTATGCCGCAAATTTTGTAGGTGCAAATTATGAAAAGAACAACAGATAAAATGCAACAGTCAGGATAGTTTAGGTTATAGATATAGATTGTGTAGATTTAGCCAGGGCTAAAAGCGTAGCTCCAGTTAATAATTTTAAAAATTTAAATTAAACCATAAACTTGTTAATTATCAACAAATCAGACTGGATAGATCCATATGACTTTAAAGGGTGGGGCTGGGTGATCTTAGGGAACTAATTTTCAAACAGTCTAAGAGCGAAACAAATCTTGCATCGAATTAATAGTCTTAAATGTACACCAAAATTTATTATATTTAGTAAGAAGGGTAATAATGGGCTTTAAGCAAAAACGTTTGGAAAAAATCTTACTTTAGATGTAATTCAGTTTCCAAAATAACCCGTGCGACTGATTTTTTAATTTTGCCAGGCGTCACAAACTTGCAATGCGAGTTGTGTCGCCTGTCGGAAATGAACAGTACCCGTTAATAGAGTTCAAAATAAAACCACTGCTGGTTATTTAAAAAATCGAGCACACCTAGTAGGAAGCCTTTCTCAGAATCAGATTTTCGTTTGCATTCTACTTCTAAGACACCATAATCTTTTAAACTATTTGATACGCGCGGCATTTTGAGTACTCCTGCAAGCAATAACAAAGGGATTTTGACAAACAATCACAACAAAAAGTATAATTCAACGAAACATTGAAAAGGACAACAATCTTTATTAATGAAGACATGTCTGTGACGTGTCCCTGAAAATCCTGAGTGATGAATAAAACCTTGCAGATTTTTGCTAAAGTTTTAACCCGGCTTCGCCGTGTTTGCTATTTTTAAGATGAACACGAGGTAAGAATATCTTTCAAAGCTTTCTTTTTACAACCAATACGGGGTAACTAAATATTCTTTAGACAGTTCTCTTTCTAGTCGTGATCAGAAAATGTCTAAAGACTTTTTAAGTTGTGTACCAGGTACGTGCGCAAAGTGACGGCATAAACAACGCTCGACTTCGTGAAAGGTCATGAAACCCAAAAAAAAAACGAAACAAAGAAACATCAGATTTACTCAAGCTTACCAGTCGAGGTGCAGCTCCTGAAATCCATAAAGTAAGGTAAGAATCGCTTTAAAAGACTTTTGAACATGCTCACGCATCCAGCAAGGTAAAGTGCGAAGAGAAGTTTATATTTCTGATTATTTTTTTCTCAAGCGAAGCACTTCTTGAGCAAAACTTTAAACCTAATAAACATGCCAGCCATGAATAACAGAAAAGTTTTGATAGCAGATGTATTTCATTTGTAGATCCAATGCAAAAAGACGGATAAAACATAATGAGATCAGACGACACAAAACTCTGTCAACTTAAGCTATCAGTAAACAAGTTTTCACCCGCTGCATAAATTTTCCACGTGAACTCATGCTCACCTGTCACATTTTGACCAATCTGAGATAAGAATGGGACGTAGAGCGGGACCAACGCGTGACCATGCTATACAAAGTCAAATTTTTTTGTGGTAGTAAGGAGCAAGAGACAATTTATTAATTAGAAACTGCCTTCCCTACCTGTAAAAAGGCTGACTTGCCGTGCCTGAAGTTCGGCCGTTGGCTCATAAACACAACTTATTTCACGCGTTGTATGCGTTAAAAAATAATCTTGAGCCTGCGATCAGTTAAAAACTAAAAACTTGTCAGCGGAAGACTTCAAACAACAAGTAACCTCAATGCGTCAAAACTTGAGCCCGCGATAAGGTCATTTGATACTGGTCAGAGGATATCCTGTTTTGACAGCTGTCACTTGATTATAACATGAATGCACAATAGATTACCCCACACTAGCCTCCACTAGCTTACTAGCAATGGATAGAACGAAATTTTCTTAGGAGCAGTTAAAAGATATTTTCTGTTGGTATACCTCTAGCCCTGAGGAAGGCTACTTTTGGCCTATAATAAATCAGTCCTTTATCGTAGTGCCAGCCCTGCATTCAGTATTGTTTCAAATTTTCTTAGCCATGGGGCTAATCTAAAACATTCTCTTACCCTGACGGGCTGATTCCTGCCTCCCTTCTCCCTGTACTAGAGTCTGTACGGTCAGCGTACAGTCGTACGCTAACGTCGTAACCAAATTTTCTCGGATGGATAGATTACCAAATTATCTTGGTTATGGTGCTCCGCTCGCGCGCTTACGCTATGAAGTATGGTATTTTCCGCTGTGGCCGATTAAAAACATCAGCCCAGGTGAATTTTGCTGACAGTATTATTTTATAATTTAACATTTTATTGTTTTCGAACACAATGCTCACCTGTTTTCAAACTAATGCCACTTATGACGTCATTTATCGCAATTAGGTCTTTGGTGATTGTACCCGTCCACAACACCAAGAAACTACCTTTGTCCTTCTCTCCGTCCACACCGCAGGGAAACCAATGTGAAATGTTACATTTTGTACCTAGTATGGGACCCTATAACCTGTGTTTAACTTTATAATCCATATTATGGTCAACTGAGAGCTGTCAAAACAGGGTATCTGCTGAGCAGAATCACATGACCGTTTGGGGACTCAGGTGCCAACTCTTCTCAAGTTTTGTTGTTGTTGTTGTTGTTTTGTTTTGTCTTTTTTAGATTTTCTCCTGACACTCTCCTGACGAGTTATTAGCTTTCGATTGATCACAGGTTTAAGTGAACGCAAGGCTAGCATTCAGTTTTCTCTTAATTTAATTTTAATTTCCACTTCAGGTGACGTCTGGCTCCATAGCATCTCTACATTAGAGATTCGGAAAGAAGGAACCAGTCTGTTTTATTCACGCGTTGAGTGGACCTCTGCATTCAAGGGTTTTTTTCAAGTTTATGTTTCAGCTGGTCTGGTTCTTCCCTAAAGTGGAATAACATCTCTGATTGATCAATGAACAGGCGGTTGAGGTTTTGCAACTCCCTAAGAGAGTGTGGAAAAATGATTGCTAGGTCCGTGGCTCCCCAACGGTCGTAATGACTACGGGATACTTGAAAGGTGCATCAAAGATGAAAAACAAAAGTTTAAAATTTCCAATAATAGGTAGATTTAATAAAATATGATTTTGAAGAATTACAGCAGACAATCTGTATGTTTTTTTTTTTTTTACTGAATTTGAAAGAAATTTCAGTGTTTTCACTCAATGGACCATATGTCTATCGAGATTCTTTAATTAAGAAAACAATTTTCTTGCACCTGATAATATAAAATTTGTTATTGCTTCGCAAAATTAAACAATTTAGCTCCCACTTACAGTATGAATAATTATAAAATTCTAAGGCATATTTCTTTAATATACCTTTCAGCATTCAAGAATAAGATGGAAGTTTTCAGAACCTAAGTGACTTTTTTCAATTAAGGGGATTAACAGCTGCTATTAAGGGGTATCAAAGGAGAAAAAAAAATTCGTTAAAATAGGCAAAAAGTGGGGGTTTTTGTCATATCATTATTTCTTTTGCTAATGTCAGAAGCTTGTCAGAGGTAACTAAAAAGGGAGGAAAATTATTGATAGATAACTATCAGCTCTAACTGATACAACAGAAATACTTGTGGTTGCTACTGAATGACTCTCTGAGCATGATGTGACTGAATAGCAAGAATAGACATCTTCATTATGAACAAAACGAATGAAACATGTTTGTCGTTTAAAAAGCAAATCAATTTCGATGGAACAGAAGACCTATTCATCGCAAATGTCTTATCTTGTGTCCTAAACTTATCCTTTTCCTTGCTAACAAGTTTGGGCAATTTGCTTATTATATATGCGATTGGAAAAACGCAAGATCTTCATTCAGCATCTTTTATCCTCTTGGGTTGTTTAGCTGCTTCAGATCTTCTCGTTGGCCTAATTTGTCAACCCCTTTTCGTGGCTTTAAAAATAGCCGAAATCAAGCGCAAGAATCTCACTGCGTACTGTACATTGAGAACGTTTGTAACAATGTTTTCTTGGCTGACATCTGCAGTTTCTTTATTTACTTTAGCTGCTGTTTCTGTCGATCGATTGCTCTGCCTGCATCTCCATTTACGATACAACACGCTAATAACTGTACCTCGTGTTTTTAAAGCAGTTTCCACTCTTTGGACCTTTACCGTAGCACTTGTAACGGTGAGATTTCTAATGGGAAATGAATGGTTTGTGATCACAATAACTGTGTTTCTTCTTTCGTTTCTCCTTATAAGCATCAGCACCATGAGAGTATTTCAAATTGTTCGAAGACACCAACTACGCATATATGATCAAAGCGTCGCTGTTAACCATCTCCAATTGCAAACCAACAACGTGAACATCCTTAAATGCAGAAAATCAGCTGTGACAATTCTTTATATTTACGGATTGTTCTTAATTTTCTACCTTCCCTTCTTTATTTCACTGGTCATTGAAGTTTTAGTCGGATACACAAAATCAGTAAAGGTTGCTTATACGTATACTGCCACTGTTGTCTTCATCAACTCTTTTGTCAATCCGCTTGTGTACTGCTGGAGAATTGGGGAAATAAGGCGAGCGGTGAAGAATATTCTGACAAGAGAATGACTCAATATAATTAAGCTTGCTAAGCCTCTGACAACGGGAGGCACACTAATGATCTGATATTGCGGTGTTCAGTGAGAACCTTAATCGTTTCGTGATTTCGATAATTAAACGAAAGGCAGCAGTATTTATTTATTTATTCTTTCCTTTTTTTATCATTGATCAATAGAAGCAATGTATGAAACAAGGACAACCGACAACTGTTTTTTGTAAAATATCTGTTCGGAGAAGCAAATATATTGCCTTGAATTTTTTATTACTTGAGGGCGGCTAAAAATTTCTAGATGACTGTTCCATTCATGTACAATTTTGAACCTTATCTAATAAATTCTCTACCAATTTTTGGATTGAAAAATGCGATGGAGAGAGGAATCGTAGTGAGCTTAATTGCATCTAAAATTTTGGGGAAAATAATAACTGAAGCCTTTGTAATTTCGAAAAGACTCATTATAAGTTCCCCTAGGATGACCGAATAGATACAAATTTTATAGCGCCGCTTAGAATGCATTTCTAGCGGTCTAAAAGTACTCTGAATAACAAGTGTTTTCGATGCATTTGCATTGAGAGGAAACCGTCGTTGGGTGCCCCTGATGAAAGGCCGTGCGTAAAAGTAAATTAAAGTTGAGCGAGGTTCAGCTTGAAGTTGTACGCCATATTACCTATAAGCTCCTATAAATTTACGTGCGTACGTTCGTCTTCCCCCGTCGTTAAAAACGTTCGTACTGGATGGAGATGAACGCGTACGAACAGGAGAATGACTAACTTTATGTCAAATTTATAAAACGAGTTTTTATTTTTATTTTGTTAAATTATACATTTATGCGTGGCGATCTGTCACTTTTGTTACTTTTGCTAAATTGCCAGGCCATAAGTGGAAAGAAAATAATCGCCTACGCAAGCCTCTGCAGCTGCCAAAAAAAACACAGTTCATCGGCTTCAGTTTTAAATTCTTAAAACTTTATAATCCTAAGGTGTATTCTATTCGAGAAACTTTTGTGTTTCTAACCGAAAAAAATACATTTCGTATATTCATAAGTAGTTTTTATGTTGCTTTTCCTTCTTGTCTTCGCCGCGAGGATCACATTTGTTTGTTTTTTTCCTTCCATCTTTTCTCATCAAGAGGGAGCACTAGGACATGCTATTGTAATGTAAATGATCCTTTTTCGGATCTTCCGTATTTTGTTAGTGAAGAATCCATATGCCATGAGATCACAAATCCGTTTTAGGATCATCTCCCATAAAAAGCACTCTAAGATACCACGACGGCGAAGGCCAAGAAAACGTCGCTTGAAAAGTGAATTTGCGTTCTTTCAGTATCTATCGCGATTGTTCTGTCGCACTTTGCAATACCAATCGTATTTCGTAATAAATTGTCGCACTTTGCAATAAACTTGAAATAGATGGTCGGAGGACAAGTAAACCCAATAGGCCCTTTGCAGCTGGGGTCACGTGATCAAAATCTTTCCTCAAAAAATCTATATTATGAGCTATAACTTGAGGAATTCCAGAGATGGAAAGAGCATATCGAAAATACCAAAATGGCCAAGTTTGGGCCCCTGGGATTACAGAGTACTGATTATACAGCAGTTTGAACTTTCGGAAAATTAAGAGGATTTGAATGGAAAATGTTGCTGGAGAGTAAGGCCTTGCTCTCCAACAACTTTTTCCATACAAATCTTCTTAAAAATTCAGATTGTCATAAAATCTCATTCTTGAATGATGGGGGCCTGACAAACTTGGCCATTTTGATATTTTCGACACGCTTTTTTCATTTCTGATTTGTTAAGTTATTGCCCATAATCTTATGAAAAGTAGGTCACGTGATGGCTTAGGTGCAAAGGGCCTATAAAAAGTATCATCATCGGCAACAACAACAACAATAATGATGAATAATAACAATAACATTCCACGGAACAGTTTTCAGCACCAATTTCTCAAGTGGGGACTGAGGAAAGTGTTCACACCAATCGCGGCCTTCCGGCTTCAAGATCTGTAGAAAAGTAATAACTCTTTCCATGCGGACGACCTCATGAACATGAGACAGTGTCCATAAGAGCGATAGTCCTTAGTGGTGAGATTTTGTATTAGAATTTAGCTGCTATCCCTATTGTCGGGTTTTCCATAAAAGTAAAAAGTTGTCCTTGACTGTGTAAGCAAAATATTGTGAAAGTTCTACTTGTAGCACGAGCAACGAAAAAATCCGGTTTACTTTCATTACCTGCGAGAAAATGAGCTGAGATATGACAAGGTTTTAGTGTTTATTGCCATGAATGTGCGCTATACTAATATTTCATAGAACTAAAGAACACAAACATCAAGCACAACAATCATTGTCAAAATCAGACAATCGTCATCGTCATCATCATCATCATCATCATCATCCGCTTTTATTACTGTTATCGCACTATTAGTGCATATCATTTGCCCACGTCATTGTGCAGCAACGATTGCTTATTTATGTGTTATTTTCAAAAAATCACTATTTCTCGCGGTTCTAACCTGATTTCTAACTCTTGATAAAATCCAAGATGGCAGTCAAGATGGCGACCATTGTTGGTGACGTCACAGGCCCCCAACAGCACCACCACCCATAAAATATACCTCATCTTGATAAGAAGATCAAAGGCTTTCCGCTAAAGGTAAAATCGTTTGAAAATACTGCAACATATCAAAAACGCCGGGGAGGGGTTCCATCCACCTCCCCCCCCCCCACCCCCTTGTACCACGGTGGGGGTATGAATTTGCGTGACGTCCGAGGGTTAATAATCTTGCTTCAAACGTTTCATCATTGTGGCATCAGAGGAATTATCAAAGACTGGTTAGCCTGGTACCTTCGTGGTCGTTCACAAGTAACTGAAGTAGGTTTTAACTTATCTACCGAATGTATGACCTCAAGTGGTGTCCAACAGTGGTCTGTGCTTGGTCCTCTGATGTTCTTAATCTATATTAACGATATTCACAACTCTTCAGCGAAATTCTCATTCTATCTCTCTACTGATGGCACAAGAAAGCAGATTCTGGGCTCACTTCTAAATGAACTGGTTCGGATTTAGAATATTGATGTTTAATTTCGTCAAAAACTCCATCACATGCGACTTAACAATCTTCTTAAAAAAATGATCGATCTGGAAAGTATGATTAAATCTTTACGACTAGCCTGGCTGAAAAGGATCTTCCAGTGCAGCAATGGTACTTGGAGAAGCTTTTTACGGTTTTCTTTGGAACCTTTTGGGGGCCTCTTTTCATTTCATTGTAATTATAACATTAAAGAGATACATATTTCCTCTAATTTCTATTCGGAGTTACTTCAATGGTGGTCTGAGTTTCGTAGTGTTTTCGATAGTAGAAGGGAATGTCAATACATTTTGTGGAATAACAAAGAGATACGTGTTGATAATAAGCCTGTTTTCTATGGGACACTGCTTTAAGGGGCCTGTCGTTAAAAGGAGAGGAAAAAAAAAAAAAAAAAAAAACTTTTTGAACTAGATGTCATTTTCGTAAATGATCTCGTTTGTTTGAATTAGACACCACAAATTCTTTTACTATTATTTCGAATAAAATTAGCAAGATTAACTACCTAATTTAGGCAGGACTTCGTCATCCTGTTCCAAAACATTTAAAGAATAGCAAAGGTCAGAGAATTACTCCCCCTCTACCCCATTCTCGTCCCCAGAGCCATTCGTTTCTTGATCACGTGCTCTTGAAACGAGGGGCTCTGGAAGCAGCCGTTACCGGATGTCAGAAAATTTCTGACACTCGGTCGAGCACGTGCAGAAGTTACAAATATCACTGCTCATGCCCATAACCGATTTTTTGTCCCTCACCTCTCCACTAGGGAAAAAGCTTTACTTCCTAAGCTCTCTCCAGACACTGGCTTCATTAGGATGTTTTGAAAATACACTCAACTTGGATTCACCGATAATTTGGAGTTAAAAGGAGAAGACATGAACAGAAACCAGCTGAACACACTGTTGGTTTGCACATATTTAATCGGCAGATTATCGTCTGTCGAGTTATGTGATAATGCGAGAAAATGTCAGTCTAAAAAGGTATCTTGTGCCCTGTCCTATTCCAAATGCTATCTTATTTCAAAACGCTTTTTGAAACGAAACAATCCATATGTTGTGTTATTAAGTTAAATATATATATTCGTTTCACTCGACCTTGTTGTGTTTTTCAAAACGCTTTTTGAAACGAAACAATTCTTGTGATGTGTTCTTAAAGTGACAGGAAAGTAAAAAATATATATATACACATATATATATTCTTTTCTCTCGATCTTGTGTTTTTTCCTATGTTTTATTTCCTTTTGGGGTGTCGAATGAGCTTTTGTGTACAACATGAGTCGAGACAACCGAAGGTTTATGTCAAAACAAATCAATATTAATTAATCATTTTGCCAACCCAAAGAGGGTAAAAAATATATAGTACAAAGTTTGTCCAGGAGAAGTGACAGCTTACGGAAATGGGGTGTTAGATATCTGAGGAATTCTATTACACTTCCATGGGATCTATGGCAACTTTATACAGCACTTAAGAGCGAATGCACAGAAAAATCGAGCAAAATCGGCAAATCGTGGCCACAGCTCAAAACCTAACTTACCCTCATTTTCAGTCTGTAATAAGGTTTTAATGAGTTTATAACACTGCTGAGGTTTAAATTTCAAAATGCGGCCAAGTTTGGGAATTATTTAAGATTTTCGATTTCAACGGTCTGCGGGCCTAAAATTAGCCGCCGAACACGGCAATATAGCCTAGCGACAGAAATGAGCTGACTTTCATAAACGAGCGAATATATTGGCAATCTTCCACTTAAATCTCAAAAAGCAGATATCTAACAATTTCTGAACGGCACATTTTTTAGATTTAGAGCAAAAATATCGACGAACTAGCAGAATTTTGAAACGTAATTTGCATAATGCTTATAAACACAACAATTTACCACTAAAACCAAAATTGAATTTTCTATATGGGGGAATTCTCCAAATCACCCCAAATTCCGC